TGGTGAAAGGATACAACTCTGATGCACATCTTTCCTGATTTTAAACTATTGAGTATCCCCTTGTTCTGTTAGAATGACTGACTCTTGGTATATGTATAAATTCTTCATGAACACAAGTAATTAGTATTCTAGAATTCCTGTTTTTCACAATGTTATCCATAATTTGTTATGATTCACACAGCCTTTGCATAGTCAATAAAACGTAAGTAAACATCTTTCTTGTATTCTTTGCTTTCAATCAAGAGTCATCTGACACCTGCAATGATAGCCGTCATTGCACATTTTCTTCTGAATCCAGTTTGAATTTCTGGCAGCTCCCTGTAGACGTATTGCTACAATAGTTTTTTTTGTGTGTGTGTGTTTTTTTTAACAATAGTTTTTTAACTATCTTTAGCAATATATTATTTGCATGTGATATTAAAGATATCATTTATTGATTTTCACATTCGATTAGGTCATTCTTCTTTGGAATGGGCACAAATGGATCTCTTCCAATTGTTTGGCCAGGTAGTTGTCTTCTAAATTTCTTGGAATAGACAAGTGAGCACCTCTAGTTCTGCATCTGTTTGTTGAAAGATTTCAATTTGCATTCTGTCAATTCCTGTAGTTGTTAAGTGTTAATTAAGTTGGTTGCAAATCATAACAACCCTATATAGGGTTTCCGAGGAGCAGCTAATAGATTTGAACCATCCACTTTTTGGTTAGCATTCCAGTGCTTATCATACAGTACCACACCAAGAGTCTTTTTTTTTGGCCATTGTCATCAGTGCATCTTGGACCTCTTCCCTCAGTATCATCAGTTTTCCATCATACAGTACTTCTTAACATGGTTGAACATTGGCCAACTATTTTTGCTATAGTGACACTGTCTTCTTTCCATATTTTGATGTTTCCTGTGTCACTCAACATTTTGCCCACAGAATCCTTTAACATCACAAGTTGAGCCTTGAATTTTTTACTTCAGTTCTTTAAGCTTGAGAAATGCTGAGGGTGTTCTTCCCTTTTGGTTTTCTAACTCTAGGTCATTGCACATTTCATTATAATACTTTATTTTGTCTACTTGAGCTGCCCTTTGAAAGTTCCTGTTCAGCTCTTTCACTTTTTCATTTTTTTCCAGTTGCTTTAGCTTCTCTACACTCAAAAGCAAGTTTCAGAATTTCTTCAGATATCCATTTTGGTCTTTTCTTTCTTTCCTGTTTTTGTTTTTTTAAATGGATGATGTTCTTGATGTCATCCCATAACTCCTATGGCCTGTAGTCATTAGTACCTACTGCATCAAATATGTTCTTGAGATGATCTCCAAATTCAGATGGTTGTATTTTCAGTGTTGTGAACTTGTTTCTTTAGCTTCAGCCTGAATTTGCATATGAGCATTGATGGTGTGTTCCATAGTCAGCTCATAGCCTTGTTTTGACTGATGAGATTGAACTTCTCCATAGTTTCTTCCCACAGATGTTATCAGTTTGATTCCTGTATATTCCATCTGGTGAGATCCACATGTTGCCATTGGTGTTATTGAAAAAAAAGGTATTTGCAATGAATAAGTCATTGGTCTTGCAAAATTCTATCATATTATCTCCAGCATCATTTCTATCACCATATTTTTCAATTATCGATCTTTCCTCTTTATTTCCAACTTTTGCATTTCTGTTACCAGAAATTATCAAAGCATTTTGATTGCATGTTTGATTAATTTCAGACTGAAGAAGTAGAATTTTTCAATTTCATCATCACTGGCTTTAGTCCTTCATGTGTAAATTTGAATAAGAGTGAAATTAACTGTTCTTCCTTGTAGGTGTATGGATACTATCCTATTTCAGACACCATTGTATTTCAAGATAGATCTTGAAATGTTCTTTTTGATGATGATATGTCATTTCTCTTCAATTTGTAATTTCCAGCACAGTAAATCATATGATTGTCAGTTTCAAAACACCAGTCCATTTCAGCTCACTAATGCCTAAGATATCAATTTTTATACTTTCCACTGCATTTTTCTCAAATTCCAATTGTCCTAGATTCATATTTGTGCATTCTACATTCTGATTATTAATGAATGTCTGCAACTATTTTTTTCTCATTTTGACTTGTGTTCCATCAGCCAATGAAGGTTCAGAAAACTGCTATATTCATGTTATTATGGTCAACTCTGCTTTGAAGAGGCAGCTGTTTCCCAGTCGCATTTTGCACACCTTCTAACCTGAGGGTCTCATCTACTGGCAGTATATCTGACAATGTTCTGCTGCTTCTCATAAGGTTTTCAGTGACTAACCATTCAGAAGTGGTCCACCTTTCCTTCTGTCTTAGTCTGGAAGCTCAACTGAAACCTGTCTACCATGGGTGACTCTACTAGTATTTAAAATATCAGTGTCATAGCTTCAAGCATTACAGCAACACACAAACCACCACAATACAACAAATTGACAGACAAGTGTAGATCAATAACTTAGTGCACCATAAAATGCATTTCAAATTCTTGTATTAAAAATCATTTGAAATGACAAGCTGCCCATGGATGTGTAAAATTGGCACAACTTAACTGGGTGCAAGTATCTATCAAAGCTTTAAAACAGTCACAATTTCTTACCTCAAATGTCTACCCCTAGGTATTTAATTCAAGGAAACAAGTGACAAATATGCAACAAAGTATGCACAAAGCTGTTTATTTAGCTGTTGTGCACAATAACAAAATATTTTGAAGCCACCTGTATTCAGCAATAGGAGATAAGTTAAAAAATAATGAGTTATATCATGTGGAGTCCTGTATGGCGCTGCAGGATAATGCACTGGACTGCAAGGTTGGTTTGAACTGCAAGGTTGGCGGTTCATGGAAACCCTTTGTAGAGTTGACTATGAGTCGGGACCAACTTGATGGCACTTAACAACAACTATGTGTTTACAAAAATGGTGGTGTATCTCTGTATTATTGCATATTCTATACTTAAAAATTTACTGTGTAATATTATTATGTGAAAAGGACAAAATATTATGCATAAATAATGCAAGAATTGATTTGAAAAGCATCATCTAGAAATAACCTCATAGATGTAGAAAAAAGTAGGGCAGATATATAAAATTTTGTTAACAGCTTTCCTTTGGGTGGCTGGATTCTAGAGTAGAATTTTTTCTTCATATGTTTTTGAATTGTCTTTACCTTTCATTTTGTGAGGAAATAAAGTAAATAAAAATAACTTGTTGAAAGAAAGGATACAATATTTGCGTTGTTCCATCTGGAAATGACGTCAGAAACTTGCTGCCATGTTTGTAGTTCTTCTCTAGAAGTTCGTCCTCCAGGATAGTCTATACACCACAGGAAATAAACAGACACTTAACCGGAAATTGTTTCAGACAGAAGACTAGTAACAACATTTGATTGCTAGATAATGATGCAAATCATTCTTAATTTAAAATTTGGGGACCAATCCTTAAGACTCATTAAAGACTACCACCAAATCCTGTAATATAACTCGATACACCTTTCTAGTAGAAATATGAAATTGCATTGTTTTATTCTTTTTAAACCTTATATACTATAAAAACAAAACAAGATAAAAGCCAACCCACAAAGGAAAAATCTAAGTCCTGATATTAATGGTGGCTATGAATCCTGGCGTAAGGAGCTCTGGTATAGTGTAGTGGTTACAAATTGGGCTGCCAATCTCATGGTCAGCAGTTCGAAACTACCAGCTGTTCTGCAGGAGAAAGATGAGGGTTTCTGCTCCCGTAAAGATTTACAGCCTGGGAAACTATGCAGGGTCACTATGAGTCGGAACTGATTCCACGGCACATATCCACCAGCACCAAATGAATTCTGGTGTGGCATTGTAGGATAATGCACTGAACTGCAAGGTCAGTTTGAACCACAAGGTCAGTGGTTCAAACCCACCAGCTGCTCCTTGGAAACCCTATAGAGGGTCGCTCTGGGTTGGAACTGACTCAACGGCACTTAACAACAAAAAGAACTTTTTGCAACAGTAAAAATGTTCTCTATCTGCACCATCCAGTATGGTAACCACTGGTAACATGCAGCTATTTAGCATTTGAAATGTGACTAATGTTACTGAGGAACTGAATTTAAGTTTCTAAAATATTAATTTTAATGTAAACAACTATATGTAGTTATTGCTACCATGTTGAGCAGTACAAGTCTAAACATGTTGAAATATTAATAATGCTTTTTGGGGAAATGGTTAGGACTTTTAATGATTTTACCCCTTTTAATCTCACTTTCTACTTGTTTCAAATGTTCTTTAATGTGCAGTTATTATACTTTGTACTTCACTCTGTATAAGTTTAGGTAGACCGTGCTTTTAAAAAAATATATCCATCTCCTCTAGATTTTAAAATTTGTTGGAGTACAACTCTTCATAGTATTCTGTTATTATCCTTTTGATTTCCATTGGTTCTGTTGTGCTGTCACCCATGTGGCTTTTTATTCATGTTATTTGTGTTTTCTTCCTCTTTTCTTTTATTAGGTTTGCCAATGATTTGTTGGTTTCATTAATTCTTTCGAAGAGCCAGCTTCTTGTCCTGTTGATTCTTTCTATAGTTTTTCTGTTTTCTATCTTGCTTATTTCTGCTCTAGTCTTTATTATTTCTTTTCTTCTGGTGACTGTAGATTTACTTTGCTGGTCTAATTGTTGGAGATGTTGTATTAATGTGATGATATTGGCTCTTTCTTCCATTTGGATGTGTGCCTTTATTGCTATAAATTATCCTCTTAGCACTGTTTTAGCTGTATCCCAAAGGTTTTGGTATGCTGTGTTTTTATCCTAATTTGTTTCTAGGGATTTTGTAAATTCACCTTTTATTTGTTCAACTACCCAGTAACTTTTAAGCAGAGTGTTATTCAGTTTCCATGTATTTGAATTTGTTTCCTTAGACTTCTTATTTTGATTTCTAATTTTATAACATTGTGATCTGAAAAGATGCTTTGTAATATATTTTGATGTTTGTAAACTTATGGAGGCTTGTTTTGTGGCCTAACACATGGTATGTTCTGGAGAACATTCCATGGGCACTGTAAAAGAATGTGTATTGTGCTGTTGCTGGGTTGAATGCTCTATACATATCCATGAGGTCAAGTTGGTTGATTGTGTTGTTTAGTTCCTCTGTGTCTTTGTCGAGTTTCTTTCTGGTTCTTTTATCCTTTTTCAAAAGCAGTATATTAAAATTTTCCACTATTATTGTAGATTTGTCTATTTCTTTTTCCAATTCTATTAAGGTTTGCTTTATATATTTTGGGGCTCTTTCATTGGGAGCATAGATATTTTTATGGTGATGTCTTCTTGTTTAATTGATCCTTCAATCATGAGATAATGTCTTTCTTTGTCTGTTATGCTAATTTTGCCTTAAAGTTTACTTTATCAGAGATTAGTATTACCACTTCTGCTCATTTTTTATTGCAATTAGCTTGGTATATTTTTTTCCATCCTTTAATTTTTAATCTGTTTTTGTTTCTATGTGTATGTCTCTTGTAGACAGCAAATTGAAGGATTCTGCTTTCTTAGTCATTCTGCCACTCTCTGCCTTTTGACTGGTGCATTTAACTCATTGATAGTCAGTGTAATTATTGAAAAGTATGAATTAATTGCTGTCATTATGTTTGTTTGTTTTGCGTGTGTGGTGCTGCTGGTTTCTTTGTTCTGCAAGCCTTCCTGTGCTGAGTTCAATTTTGTGTTTGTGTGTGTGTGTGTGTGTGTGTGTGTGCTTTTACTTGTCAGTTTCTTCATAGTTTTAATGTTTCCATGGTCTTCTTGGATATTCCTTTTCTTGATATGTTGGGAAGTATCAATTATCTTTGAAGTTACCCCATATCATATTAACTTTTTCCTACTTTTAAAACAGTCTGTTTTATTCTGAAATCTACCTGACTTCCTTATCACCTGGATCTCTGTTCCTATATTTTCCCCTTCTTTTGAATTGTAGTTGTTTTGTTCATAGACTGAGCTCCCAGATCCTCTGATTTAATTCTTGTAGTTTTGTTCTTCCTTCTTTCAACTGAGTTCTGGGTGGTGTTGCCACACATGTCAAGTCTCTAGTTGTTTTTTATTGATGGTTTTTAGTAGAAAGAACTCCCTTTTGGATGTTTTGAAGTGCTGGATTGGATTTTGCAAAGTCCCTTAACTTCTGTTTATCCTAGAATGTTTTGATTACACTGTCATATTTGATTGACAACTTTGCTGGGTAAATGATTCTTGGGTGGCAATTTTTTTTTCATTCAGGTTTTTGTATATGTCTCCCGATTGCCTTCTTGCCTGCATGGTTTTTGCTGAGAGATCAGAGCTTAATCTTATTTGCTTGCTTTTGTAGGTAACACTTCTTTTTTCTTTAGATGCTTTCAGGATTCTTTCCTTGTCTTTGATTTTAGAGAATTTGATTATGATATATCCTGGTGATTTTCTTTTGGGGTCTATCCTTGCTGGGGTTCATTCAGCTTCTTGAATGCTTATCTTCTCATTTTTCAGGATGTTAGGGAAATTTTCTTCCAGAAGCTCTTCAACTATCTCCTCTGTGGTTTTCTGTGATTCTTCATGTTCTGAGACTCCAATCACTGTAGGTTATTCCTCTTCATGTTGTTCCACATTAATGTTAGACTGTTTTCAGATTTTCTTTTCTTTTTTTTTTAGCAATATTGAGAGATTTATCTCCAAGTTTGCTGATTTCTGGCTTCCATCTCATCAATTCTACTCCTTTACCCTTTCAGTGTATTGTCCATTTCTGATATTTTATTATTAATTGTTTGGACCTCTTTTTGCAGGTTTTGAGTTGTTTCCAATGCTATTTCTATCTTATTTGATTGTTCCTGTAGCACTCTTCTGACTTCTTCCTTATTTTCCTCAACTTTTCTTTGGAACATTTGGATGCACCTCAATAACATTCTCTTACTAGGCAATTCCAAAGTCTGAACTTCTTCCAGTGGAAATTCTAGGTCTACCTCCAACTCATTTGTTTGCACTACTCTGTCTTATTTCTGGACATGATCAGAAAATTTCTGGTTTTATTTATTTATTAAGCTTTGTGGTGCTCTTGTATTTTCAATAATTTGATGAATGTATGTTGGTGTATTCTTAAGCTCTCTGATTGTCTACTGGTAGATGTGACCAGGAGATGGATTTCTCATTTCACATCTCTTACTATTAAACTCAAGAGTTATTTTAGCAGGTGTTGGTTACTTACACTGTTCTGGTGTATAGCAGCTAATATTGGTTCTTGCCTAGATGGTGGGATTTTATCGAGTATGATTGTAGCTTGGCTGTATGACCACAATTGCTGTCTCTTTCTGGGTAAGGCAAGAAGAGAAAAAGCACCCCCCCCAATGATAAAAGGGGGACCAAAAAACAGACTGGACACAAACATCCAAAATTGCCTCCAAACAAAACAAAACAAAATAAAACAAAAAAACATAGCAAAATATAAGTAAGACTTTTTTGGCTTCTTGCCCTCAAAGCTGCTTGAGAAATTTCAAGATGTTTCCATCTCACCTTATGCTGTAACTCAAGGCTTTGTTTTTGGCCTTTTTTCTCCTAGTGAGAACCAACCCAGGGCTGGTCCCCATTTTAGAGGACACTGCCATTTTAAGCTGTTCATGTTGACTCTTCCACCTTCTACAATTCTGCACCCAGAGATCCTTGCAGATCCACGCTTGTGCATAGTAAAACCTTCCTGGGGGTGTCCACTCACTCAGGTATATCCTCTGGTCCCAAGAGTGGAGCCAGGCAGACAGAGGAAAATAAAACAATGAAAAGAGATGTTTGTAACTTTATCTCTGATGACTGGTCAGATCTCTCTGTGATGGGAGTGCTCTTTTGACCATGTATCTGCTCTTTCCCATTCAAAATGGCTGTGCCAAGGACTCGTTGGCTGATGAAAATCAGAAAACACCTCCTTCCCGGCCTCTGCACCAAGCCCACTGTGGTAAGCCTTTCAATGCTCCTAAATATCCCTTTATATGAAGTTCAGAGTCCTGGCACCATTCTTTGAAATGATTTTATCCAGTATTCCATGTTATTACTGGTGGAGGTCTGCACAGCCTTTCTACCTAGTCTGCCATCAAGCCCTACATCCACAATCTGCAGTTTTTATAAATCCCCCCAAACCACTGCTATCCAGTTGGTTCTGCCTCTGTAGGATAGAGCAGAACTTCATAGGTATACCTATGCTGTCATCTTTATGGGAAGCAAATTGCCACACCTTTCTCCCTCAGAATGGATGGTAGATTCGGATCACTGACCTTCTGATTAGCAGCCAAGAGCATAATCATTGTGTTACTAGGTCTTCTTTTAAACAAAATACCCAAACTAAACCCACTGCTGTCAAATGGATTCCGACTCACAGTGGCCATATAGCACACAGTAGAACTGCTCCATAGGGTATCCAAGACTGTAAATTTTCACTGGAAGTAGACTGCCACAGTTTTCTTCCATGATGTGGCTGGTAGGTTTGAACTACTACTGATTTTTCAATTAGCAGGTGAGTGTGTAACCACTATACCACCAGGGCTCCATTTAAGCAAAATGTTGTTGTTGTTAAGTGCCATTGAGTTGGTTCTGACTCATGGTGACCTTATATAGGGTTTCTAAGGAGCAACTGGTGAACTTGAACTGCCGACTTTGTGGTTCAAACCAACCTTGCAGTCTAGCACATTAAATCACAGTGTCACATCAGGACTCAATGCAACCAAAATAGTCACCATAAAACATTTATTAAAAAATATTGTTATAGCATAATGAAATTTGAAAGGCCAAATCTGAAATTTTATAAGCTTTTTTAAAAATATATATATTTACCTTTCCACATGCTATCCTAGAATCACAACAAACAATGGATAAGTTATTGGTTTCTACTTGAAAATCAAACATGCTCTCATCAGTTGACACCTTTTCTGGAATATCCACAGACAGTTGATAAGAAATTGTTTTTAAGTGCCTTGAATCTAATGGGAAGAGAATCACATAAAATTACATATATATTTTAAAATTTCAAAAACTTCACCCCTAAAATTATATTTTGAATTATTTTACAAATGCACTAATTCATCAGGCACTTATTATAAAGGGTGAAAAATGAGGATCTTCATTAAATTAAAATGAGGATCCTTTGTTAAAAAAAATAAGGATTTTATTAAGTGGAATTTTGTGGTCTTCAGTTTTGGTGTGAAATACTTGAATATCTGGGAAATCTGTGCTAGGGATATAGTTACAAACAAAGAAATTAATTAATAAATATATAAAAATAGTTTTTAATAGCTTTGACTGCAGAAATATTTAAAAAAATGTATCCCAAATCAGACAGTGTGTATTTGAAGAAGAGGAATGAGGGATTGAATCTAGAACTTCTGGTTCAAAAATTCAAAATCCATAGAAAAGCTACAGCTCCTATACAATAGCTCTAGCAGCCAGCTATCTGACTGTGAAAATACGAAAAGAAAGAAATCAGGTTTATTTTTGAAAGGATTTTCCATACTCAAGCTTGAAAGAAAAATGGAATATACGCTTAACGAAACAAGAGAAAATGACTCTGAAAATTCTTTGCAGCTATCTATAAAGTGCTCTACAACTGATTACTTTCAATCAATACTAACAATGAGATGAAGACTAGGAACTACAAAGGTCAGCTAGATGGCTGAAATAAGCACCTTTCCTGAGCCATTTTAGTTAACAGAGGCTTTACTTAGAAATGAAAATTTATCTATTACTTTCAGTATTCATGGATTTTAGGTCTTGTGACATTATCTGAGCTTTCTGATATTAAACAGCTGATGTAGCAGATCCTTTGTTGGTGAGCTCACCTTCTTCGGCGAACGTAAGCTCGTCAGTGGGTATGATTGCAAGATGTTTGGCCATCTGTCGCTCCTGTTTCCTACAAAATTAAAAGATATGATTCATAGATCTGAGATGTATTTAAAACTTAAAACAGCATGCTGTAACATTTTAACTGCATAAATGCCATCCCTCATTATTTTTGCCTGTTATTATCTGTGAACCTGGTCTATATAATTTGATTATGTGGGCCTCTACACTGTTTAGGGGCTATATTTCTCCTATATAGGATTTCCAAATTATTCTGAGAATTTGAAATTTGTAAATTTCTACTAAGGAGTCCTGGTGGCACAGTGGTTAAGTACTCAGCTGCTAACACAACAGCCGCTCTGTGTGAGAAAGATGTGGCAGACTGCTTTCCATTTAGATGACAGCTTTGGAAACCCCAGAGGATAGTTGTACTCTGTCCTATAGCCTTGCTATGAGTTGAAATCGACTTGATGACACATAACAGCAGCAACAAATTTCTACTTGAGTGGTAAAGTGTTTAAAGGTGAAGCGGGATTTGGTCTTTGCCCTCAGTTCCTGGGAGTTGATTCCTAAACTCTTGAAATGTCATGCTAACTAGAAGTGTGTTTGTCTGGGTCATGCTGAATAGCCTAATAATGTGGTTTAAGGGTGGAATAGAGCCACAACAGATAGTATTTAGGGTAGTAGCTGACCACACCAAAAAAATATGACAATGTGCGGTAGAGTGGGGGTTTTGAGCCATACTTGCAATATGACTTAGGGTAAAGACTTTGGGTCTCATAGCCTCAGTCGGCTCAGAAAGGGCTGGAGACTGAGATCATTTACATGGACAGCCTTCATGATGGAGCCACAACAGTAATTAAAAAAAAAAAAGGAAAACAAAACAAAAAAAACCCCTTTGAACACTGAGCCTCAAGGGAAGTTCCCTGGTTGACAACACCCCATCTGTCACACTAAAGTAATGCTGTCCATGACTGGGGGAGCAGAGGAAGACTGCTGAACAAACTGTGTTTGGTACCTTTCTTGGATTCTGCCCTCTGCTTTTCCCTTGGGGGGTTTTACTTGTACCCTTTGCCTTTAATAAACTGCAACCGTGAGCATGACAGCTTTCAGAGAGTTCTGTGAGTCCTTCTAACAAATCAACAAAACTGAGGGTGTTTTTGGAAGCCCTGTAACTTTCTATGGATGTTGAATGTGAAAGTGGTCTTGTGTGGTAGCCTGTGTTCTCCCTAATTTTCACACTACTTTAAATCAGTGAGTCTTCAGTTTCTGAAAACTTCTGGATCTAATGACATCCACCAGGAATTGTAAAAAGTTTGACTCAGTGGGAACACATCTTCAAAATGATGCATTTTATAGGGAAAAAAAATGGCTAATTTTACAAAATGTTTTTCAATTAAGTGGGCCAATCTGAGTTTCAGTATCAAAGGGTCAATGTTACCTCCGCAGGGCCTTTTCCTTTGCTTTGAGCCTCTCCACTTCATTTCCATGGGCTGCGTGGGGGTCGATACAGATTAATTTAGCATAAGAGCTTTGGGTTTTTTGCTCTTCAATAGAGATATATTCAACTAGATTTTGGAAATGAATGCAACAGGAGTCCTGAAAAACAAAAGGTTTTTTGTTTTTTTTTTAAATCCCTAGATAAGGTGACTAGAGGAAAAGGGAAGGAAGGAAGGAAAGAAAGAAAAACCCTCACATTTGGTAAATGCAGTTTAGATAACAATCTACCATAGTTCTTTTCTTTTCTTTTTTTCCTCTTTTATTTTTTTGGTAATAACCTTATTGAGATATAATTCATATATACAATACAGTTCACTCATTTAAAGCATATAATCTATGTTTTTTAGTATATTCACAGACTTGTGCAACCATCACCACGATCAATTTTAGAATGTGTTCATTACCCCAAAATGAAACCTTATAATTCCACTGTCCCCTTCTTCTGACCCTTGGCAACCACTAATTTACTTTGAGTATCTATGGATTTTTCTATTTTGGATATTTCATACAAATGAAATTATATAACACATAGTTTTCGTGACTGACTTCTTTAACTTACCATAATATTGTAAAGGCTCAACTATACTGTAGAATTCATTTCATTTTATAGCCAAACAACATTTCAAAGTACAGACAGAATGTATTTTGTGTATCATTTAACAGCTGATGGACATTTGAGATGTTTCCACTCTGGCTACTAGGAAGATTTATACACAAGAGTGTGTATAGACATATGTTGGACTGCTCTCTTGGGTACACCGGAGTGAAAATCTATGTTAAGTCCATGTTTAACCTTTTGAGGAACTCCCAGACTGTTTTCCAAAGTGAACTTACCACTTTGTATTCATCCCCAGAAGTGCATGAAGGTCCAATTTTTTCCACGTGTTGTGATCTGTCTTTCTGGTTATAGCTAGTCTAGTGGGTGTGAAGTGATATTGCAGTGTGGCTTGGGTTTCTATTTCCCTGATAACTAACACATACTTCTTTAAGAATGGCAATGCGGAAGAAAGGTGCAAGGGAAAATATGATGTGGTGTTTATGTGTGAATGCATATTTAAAAATAGTACTATTTCCTCAGTAAACCTGCTTTAGAACTTACACGTTTTATTGGTTCAATGCTACTGTATTCAGAGTAAAAATCCATACTGGAAAGAAATGTTCTTAGATCACTCCCACAATATTCACACTTAGGTAATATCTCCTCTTCATCCTTCAGAAAAGGGGGACAAAATGAACAAATACTGACAACAGACAGGTTCTGGGAAGGGTCAATGAATATTCATTGGTGGGAGACTACAAATTTGGTTGAAAATTCCTGTCAGCTGTCCTGAGGATTCCCAGAAATTCTTAGTGGGGAACTTTCAGGGGCTGAGAGCCTGTACCAGAGGGTACCAGTAAGATTTAATGTGACATCACTTCTACTTACAGGCTGATAAGGACTGGGGAGACTGAGGTGGCACTTGGACAGCTTCTTTGTGGCGCAATTTGTTAGAGCAGAGCTGAGTCCATTAGAGCTGGTCTTTGAGATTCCTCCCCAAGATATAAGGATAGTTTCAGAAATCACGTTATTGTTCATGTCAGAGTCTCTGGGCTGTGTGTGGAGTGTGTATAGTGTGTAACCAAATGAGAGAAACAAGGATAATGCACATTTGATTTTATAAAAATAGTGAAGGTGTCTGAATAAGTAAGCTCTTTCAAGAAGTGGTGAGAAAGAAAACAGCCTTGACATTACTGTCATTTTCAGTTGTCAACTTTCTAAAAAAAATTCAGAGGAATATCTTGAGGGGAAACCCATGGTGGGGCTCTGAATTCTGTTTGTACCGTGCAGATCATTCTGGAGAGAGAGGCTAGGGACGCCAAAGGGGAGAGACAGAACTACAGGCTCAAGTGACTCGATGAAGGGTTTGATGCACTGTGGACAAGTCATCGAACTGAATTCATATTCTGACTACAGAGGTTTCTGAGTAGGCGAGCAGCTAATACTCAAAACAGGCCTCCAGGAAAAGATTCTGGTCCTTGTAGATCATGAATACTTTTAGGGAATTTCATGTATTTGCCATGAATACCATCCCCTGAGACTGGCAAAATGGTCACCTGTATGGAGCTGGAGGGTGACTGAGGAGGTGAGTGAAGCTAGGGGTTCTCCTTACAGGGAAGTTCTGCTCTGTTTTATAGGTCAGCTGTGAGCGGAAACTGACTCCATGGCAGTGGGTTTTTGGATACTTGTTGACTATAGTCCCATATAGGAAATGAGTTTTCTTTGCTATGTTAATTAGACAGTATTAGTAAAGGCAGTGTTTTAAGTCAATATCTTTTGAGATATAAAAGAGATAAAACAAGCAAGTGAGGAAGGAGAGATGGGGGAAGAGAGATGCCAGGCCACATGTAGATATATCTTCCAGGAGAAAATGCTCACAGGAGACAAGGACCTTCTCCCAGAGTCAACAGAGAGAGAAAGTCTTCACCTAGAGTTAACACTCTGAATTTGGACTTCTTATCTCCTAACTGGGAGTTAATCAATTTCTGTTTGCTGAAGTCATACACGTGTATTTCTAATATAGCAGCACTAGATAGTGAACATAGGTTTGTTCATTATTTATTGTGCAACTCTTCATGTGGCTTTTTATGCCATTTATTATGCCACTAGTAAAAAATTATGAATTAAAGTCACCTTGAATTTAATGTGTAAATTGGAAGTCTCTGGTTTGTATGCCAGAATGGATGGTGGCCCAATGCCGGGTAATGTTCTCAAGGAAGGCTCAAACAGTTTGATGAAGTCGTCCTTAAACTAGAAAAAAAAAAAAAAAAGGAAAATTGAAGATTACATAAGCTATTTTTATCATGAAAAAAATAGCGTACTCATAGGTTTGATAAACATTTCTTACCTCCATTTCACATAAAACCTTTAATTTTGGCTCTTCTGGATTAATTACCCATTTTTCTGAAGAGAAGAGATATATTTAGAAGGAAAATTTAAACTTTCTGTTGTTGTTGTTGTTAAGTGCCATTGAGTTGGTTCCAACTCACAGTGACCCTGTATAAGGTTTAGAGGAGCAGATGGTGAGCTTGAACTGTCGACCTTGCAGTTCAAACTGACCTTGCAGTCCAGTGAATTAACCCACAGTGCCACACCAGGACTCCAAAATTTTCTGTAGTACATTCTATTTTCTCTACTTTGGAAATTCCCATCCACTCTGCTTCCCACTATGCACACACTGTTTAAAAGGTTTAAAGCCCTCAATTTTCACCATCTTTCTGCATGCATGCTTGGGAGTGCTTTCCTAAAGGGTATGTTGTTGTTGTTGTTAAGTGTGGTCAAGTCAGTTCCGACTCATAGAGACCCTGTATAGGGTTTCTGAGGAGCAGCTGGAGGGTTTGAACCACCGACCTTGTGGTTCATAGTCCAGTACTGGTCCTACAGCGCCACACCAGGAGTCTTCCTAAGGGATATGGGCACCATCAAAGATACAGTTGGTTCCCCAACAGTAGTTTATCCTTACCAGCAAAAGAAAAGACTCCAAACATCTCTTTACCTCTTAATTCAGAAGTTGAATTTTTAAGTTTAGCTTTCTTCAGTGGGGTAAGTGTTTTCTTCACTGCAAAAAGAGTGAACATTTGTCAGCAACTGGGACAAAATACAAAAAAGGTTTCGTATAAAAGAAAGTGAATCTCAGAAAAATAAGTACCACCTTTAAGTATGTTTGTTATATCTTTCAAATTTTGGTCCTTTTTCAAATGACATTTTAGCAACAATAACAAGCATATACAGGGAATTTACCACTCTAATGTATCACATTTAAAAATATTCCCCTGTTCCTGTATAGTCTTAGAATAGTCCATGGATGCATATTTTACTTGTCTTTAATCATGGTTTGCATACACTTATGCTTTCTCTTTCTTTAAGCATCATCAGGTCTATGTTATGAGACTTCTCAAGTAGGAGGATGTTGGCCAGATGAGGATTCCAGTTCAAGGCAGTGAATTAAACTAACAGAATTACTGTTGTACCCTCCACAAATTTCAGAGCAGCACTGGAGATGGAGAAAAAGACCATCAACATCTCAGCAACTTTGAATAAATGAGTAGGAGATACAAAGCAAATAGAACTGAAATAATGAAAAGCCAATCAGAACAACCGACAATGAGACAGAGACAATGGAAGGGGTCGGTTGAGATGTAAGTGACTTATTTCCCTGGTAAATTCAGAGACAGCAAAAGTCACTGTGGGGAAAGACAGAAGCTTCAGAAGCTGGTATCTGGGGTGGATGGTAGCAATGTAAAGTATCTAAAAACAAAATTCATAGACATTTTGTTCACCAGAAATGCCAAAACAGGCATAAAAACACAAATTCACAAGGAGTTTCATTAAAACATCATTTGTTATGAGGAAAACTCAAAAAGAAAAGAAAAGTAAAAACCACCCTGCAGTATCTAACAATCTGATTACATAAGACACAATAATGAGTAAATACTACACAGTCATGGTGTTGGAGGAGAATGTTGAAAGTACCACGGACTGCCAAAAGAACCAGCAGTTCTGTGTTGGAAGAAGTGCAGCCAGAGTGCTCCTTGGAGGCCAGGATGGCCAAACTTCATCTCTCATTCTTCGGACATATTGTCAGGAGGGACCAGTCTCTAGAGAAGGACATCATATTTGGTAAGGTGGAGGGTCAGAGAAAAAGAGGAAGCCCCCCAGTGAGATGGATTGGCAAAGTGGCAGCATCGATGGGCTCAAGCGTGGTAACAATTGTGAGGTTGGCCCAGGATTGGGCAGTGTTTCATTCTGTTGTATATAGGGTTGCTATGAGTTGGTACCACCTCAATGGCACCTAACAACTACACAGTCATTTAAAATAATTAGCTCAATCTTTCCTGACATGAAAAGATAACAATGACAGACTGCTAAGTAAAAAAGTAAGGAAGAGAGAAAGCTGCCAGTTTTTGCAGGAAGTGCAATTATCTAGTAAATGCTCTGCTAACAAGTGATTAAGATTAATAAGACAATTCAGCAAGACAATCAGATATAACATTAAAGTATAGACATCAATAACTTTCTTATACACCAATAATAACCAGTTAGAAAATATCACATGAAAAAAGTGATTCCAATACTACATCAAGTTTATAAGATACCTTGGAGTAAGCTAATAGTAGCTACATAAATCCTATATGGAAAAAACACAACAACTATAAAAAGGAGTCAGGAAACAATAGTTACTCTACATCTCTGCATATTGTTGTTGTTAAGTGCTGTGGTGGAGTTGGTTCTGACTCAGAGCGACCCTGTATAGTGTTTCTGAGGAGCGGCTGGTGGGTTTGAACTGCTAACCTTGTGGTTTGCAGTCCAGTACTGATCTTACAGCACCAAACCAGGAGTCTACGTATTCCTGCATTGAAATATGTATCAATTATTCCCAAATTAATCTACATAGTCAATATAATTCCAATGAACTGAGCATCACAAGTTTTCACTTGCTGATTTTTTAGAAGGAGATTATCAGGCTTTTCTTCTAAGGTGCCCTGGGTGGATTCAAACCTCTAACCTTTTGGTTTGCAGCTGAGTTTGTTAGTTGTTTGAATCACACATGGACTCTGAAAGAGAATAAGGAGGGAGGGCAATACTTGCTTTAACTGATATAAGAGCATTATAAAGCTACAGAAAATACAGCTACATGGCACTGCTGTAGAACACTATGGCTACATAGTTCAGGTGGTGGTGACTGTGTCATGGAGATGGTACTGACTCATAGGACCCTGTATAGGATTTCCAAGGCTGTAAATCTTTATGGGAGCAGAAAGTCTCCTCTTTCTCCCTTGGAGTGGCTGTGAGCTTGAGCAGCTGACTTCGTCGTTCAAACTGACTTTGCAGTCCAAGTGCATTACCCCACAACACCACACCAGAACTCCATATGGTAGGGGCCCATTGTAGGGACTCAATAAGTATTTAATCAGTAAAGTGACATAACACACAATTTACATATAAAAGTCTGAAAGGAAAAGTTATCCATAATGATTATCTCTGAGAATTATATCAGGAAGTTTAAATTGAAATTTTTATGTTACATATTTTTTTAATGGTTTGAGTTTTTCAAAACATTCTACATATGTTACTTCTATAATAAAAAAGATAACGATTAATGTCAAAAGCAAAATGGCAGATTCTTTTAAAAAATGTTTCTTTATTTTATTTTAGATTACTAATTGATTTGTATTTACAGAATTGCTATCATTTACTAAATAGTATCTGGGAGTTTAAATATTTAATCTCACTTTGATCCTCATAACAATCTGACGATGGGAAAATTATTGTCTAGCCTCATACTATTAATTTGTGTTAGAACTTGGATACAAACCTACCTCTACTGGCCTTCCATACCCATGCTCTTTTTAATATGCAATCCCAACTCCCCCCAAAAGTTAAGAAATCATACTCACTCTGTTGATGCTTTTTATGAGATAAATCTTGAAGCCAACTTTCTTCAGTTTGTACTGATGTTGGAATTCCTGAATATAAGTGTTGATCGGCAAGCCTGAAATTTAGAAAAAAAATTAGTAGTTTTGAGTATACCTACATACTTGTTTGCAGCTTTTCTAAATATAGTACCTATAACAAATAGCATTTGTACAAGGAAAAAAAAAAAAAAAAAAAAGACCCTGATTTTATTTTCTTAGAAATCTGTCTTTCATTCTAATTTCTTCAGTAGAGTTAGGTAAGGCACAATGAGTTTGTATCAAATCTGTTCTTTGGAAATTATTCTTTTTTCTATCCCAATACCATATTATTTTCCTCACGTTGTTGTTATTGGCGGTAGTTGTACCTATGTTTAAACATTTATTTTAAATTAAATTAGAACATATTATCCATTTTCAATAAGGAGCTCCGGTAGCGTAGTGGTTACGACTCGGGCTGTGAACCGCAAGGTCAGCAGTTTGAAACTACCAGCTGCTCCGCGGGAGAAAGATGAGGCTTTCTACTCCCGTAAAGATTTACACCCTCGGAAACCCTGTACAGGGTCGCTATGAGTCGGTTCCGACTCCACGGCACATAACAACAACAACAACAACAAATCCATTTTCAATAGCTTAAAAATCAAACGTTTTAAAAGGCTGAAGTTAATTAAATGCATTATAATCTATGATCTGTTTTCTTTCCACAAGTTGTCTAATCACCTACTTATTATTGACAAGGTAGGAAAGCAGGAATCTGTTGAGTTTTACTTGCTAAACTAATTGTTACTGGTCAAAAGTAGACAATAGCTACTGCTCCTTAAGTTTCTTTGCCTTGTTCAACTTAAGATTTTGGCAATAATTTCCTGGCAATTCAAAAATTATCAAGTAATATTTTCCAAATCATTTAGTCATTCTTCAAATTGCCATATTTCCACCTTTCTCAGTTCTTTTATATCTCCACCTTCTTTTTTGATGTTTGCCTCCTTGGTACATTGTATCAATGGAATTTTATTATTTTTTTAATTCTGAAATTACTGTGTACGAGGGCCACCTGAGCTAAGGCCACCTGAGAAATTCTGGGATGGAGGCCTGTTCATCTAACCTTCCAGAGAAACAAGTTGTAAGAACCAAGAACAAAAGACCATTAAAGTGAAATTTTTAGACCACATTGTATATTTTCCCCAATTCACTGCTTAGCAAAATTCAATACATTATTCATCTAAGTTCTCTTTGCCTTTCGTAAATCAGTATTAGATATTGCTTTAGAAATTTAGAAATGTAAAGGTGGAGGACAGATAGAAGATATTAACATTAACATTTAGAGAGAATTTACTGTGTACTAGTACTGGGTCAAGGAGCTCTGGTAGCATAGTGTTTACGGGCTGTGAACCTTAAGGTCAGTAGTTTGAAACTACCAGCCACTCTGCGGGAGAAAGATGAGACTTTCTGCTCCCCTAAAGATTTACAGCCTAAGAAACCCTATTCAGGGTCACTATGGGTGGAACCGACTCGATGGCACTTAACAACAACAACAGCACAGGGTCGCTATGGGTCAGAACCAACTCGACAGTACTTAACAACAACAACAACAAGTACATATATAGTAACTACTTTGCTCACTTTATTTCAGTTAACTGTACAGAAATCAATTAAGGTAGATATTAATATTCCTCTTTTATAGATGAGGAAACTGAGGTTCATAGAGTTTAGTGAATCTCTCAAAAATCAAATGCTGCAAAGGCAGATTGAGTCCAGACCTGCCTGGCTTCAAAACCCAAGTTTTTCCATTTTCTTCTGTTTCCTAAAGTTTGTCTCATGTTTAATTATAACAGGAATAATCCAATTAAAAGTAGAAGTTGAGCCAATATTTGTTTGCATTCTTGTGAATTTTTAGAATAACTTTCTTTAGAAGTACCCATAATCCCATGAAATTCAACACAGAATGTTTTAAGATATGAAAGAAGTTTCTCCTCAAGAAGATTTGTGAGAAAAGTTAAGAATGTCAGCTAGCAAAGAGAGGTTCTCATGGATTTGAAACATATACTTAGAATTCTTGGTCAAGATGGTAGCTGAGCACACTATTTTCCTTCCCTTCCTTTTCCTGTAGACACTTAGAAAAAGTCCTGGAAAATACGAAGAATGCTATCAGTAGACAAGTAAAATTGAAGACATCCTAAAAAGAGAAGTTATAGATGGCTGTAGGTTTTAGGAAAACCAAAGCAGAGACCACCACCACAGTGCCAGACAAGAGATGTGAGTTAAGGTTTTTCCAAAGGGAACTGCTGAGAAGATCTTAGGTCAGATTAAAACAAACACAGAGAAAGAGCTGGGAACAGTCATCAAGGACTGAGCTTGGAACAGCTGGCCAGTCAGGCCACTCCCTCTCCCCTTATACAGAGCAGTTGGCAGTAGTTGTTTTATTTCTGGATGAAGCTGCAAGAACTCTCTTCTGAAAAGAGTGTGTTGGCTGCCCTACTGAGGCTTTTAGGAGAAGCAGAGTCTGTGCACCCAGGAATGAAATGCATAAAAAACTCCATCTACATAATAAAGTGTCCTTTTTCTAACTTAACTAAGAGTGCCCCGCTGCTTGTCATGAACAGACAATCCACAGGGAAGCTACCAACTCACCCAAGACTCAAAGTCGTCCCTCCCAGGTAAGCCCTGCTATAAAATAGAATGATTTAGTTATAGAAAGATTTCAAGCTACTGAAAGATTTTGTTCTTGGAACCTATCATTCACTTATTTACAAATACAAATGGATAACCAAAGATTACCAGTCACTCAAGGGTAATCAGCAGCATGGAAGAAAAGGACCAAGATGAACAAACAGAACAGCTGGCATGAAATATAAAAGAATACAGAGAACTTAATGAAGAACTAAATATAACTAGTATCTTCAGAGAGCTTTACATTGAAACAATTTTGAGTGTGTATGTTGTTGCTGTTGTTAGGTGCTGTCTAGTTGGCTCTAACACAAAGTGACCCTACCCTATGAAAACAGAACAAAACCCTGTCCTGTATTGTGCCATCCTGACAATCCTTGAGCTCATTGTTGCAGCCACTGTGTGAAATCATGCCATTAAGGGTCTGCCTCTTTTCACTGCTCCTTTTACAAAGCATGATGTCCTTCTACTGGAACTGGTTTCTCCTGATATTATGTCCAAAATACTACAAGATGAAGCCTGGACAGCCTCACTTGTAAGAACTTGGAAAAAGATGATGAAGTAAAAGAACTAAACAGAAAATTGCAAAAGGAAGCTCAAGAAGACAAAGTAAAGTATTGCAATGAAATGTGCAGACTGGGAGTTAGAAATCAAAGGGAAGAACATGGTCAGCATTTCTCAAGCTGAATGAACTGAAGAAAACATTCAGGTCTCAACTTGCAATATTGAAGGACTCCATGAATAAGATGAGAGTCCTGGTGTGGCGTGGCGCTGTAGGATTAGCTCAAGGTCAGTTTGAACTGCAACGTTGATGGTTTAAACTCACCAGCAGCTCCTCAAGGCCACTGTGAGTTGGAACAGCCTTGATGGCACCTAACAATAACAGTAACACACACAAGATATTGAGTAATGCAGGAAGCATCAAAAGAAGATGGAATGAATACACAGAAGGAATGATCAAGTCATTGTACCAAAAAGAATTGTTCAATGTTCAACCATTTCAAGAGGTTGCATACAATCAAGAACTGATAATATTGAAGGGAGAATTCCAAGCTACACTGAACGCATTGGTGCAAAACAAGGCTCCAGGAATTGCTGGAATATCAATTGAAATTCTTCAGTAAACTGATGCAGCACTGGAGGGGCTCACTTGTCTATGCCAAGAAATTCGAAAGACAGTTATTTGGTCAACCGATTGGAAGAGATCTGTATTTGTGAGTATTTCAAAGGACAGTAACCAAATGGACTTCAGAAATCATCAAACATCACTTGCAAATAAAATTTTGTTGAATATAATTTAAAAGTGGTTGCAGGAGTACATTGACAGGCAGCTGCAAGATATTCAAGCCAGATTCAGAAGGCAATGTGGAATGGGGGATGTGACTGCCGATATCAGATGGATCTTGGCTGAAAGCAGAGAATATCAGAAAGAAGTTTACATGGGCTTTATTGACTATGCAAATGGATTATATGACTGTGTGGATTATAACAAACTATGTATAGTATTGGAGTCCTGGTGTGGTGCTATGGGCTAATGTGCCAGACTGCAAAGCCATTTGAACTGCAAGGTCTGCGGTTCAAGCTTACCAGCTGCTCCCTGGAAACCCTATACAGGGTCGCTATGGGTCTGAATCGACTCGACAGCACTTAACAACAACATGTATAATATTACAAAGAATGGGAATCCCAGAACACTTAATTGTGCTAATGAGGAACCTGTATATAGACCAAGAAGCAGTCATTAGAACAGAACAAGGGGACACTGAATGGTTTAAAATCGGGAAAGATGTGTACCAGGGCTATGGCCTTTCATTTATTCAATAAGTGTGTTGTTGTTGTGTGCCCTGGAGTCAGTTCCGACTCATAACGACCCTGTACTGGGTTTCCAAGGCTGTAAATCTTTATGGGAGCAGAAAGCCTCCTCTTTCTCCTGCGCAACAGCTGGTAGTTTTGAACTGCTGACTTTGCGGTTTGCAGCCCGATTCGTAACCACTACGCTACCAGAGCTCCTTCAATACGTGTACTCAGTAAATAATCTGAGAAATGGAACTTCATATAATAAGCAGAATGTGGCATCAGGATCGGAGGAAGATTCATTAACAACTTGTGACATGCAGGTGCTACAACCTTGCTTGCTGGAAGTGAAGAGGGTTTAAAATACTGATAAAAATCAAAGACTAAAACCTTCAGTATGGATTGTATCTCTTTAAAGTATTAAAGAGCAAAGATGACACTTTGAGGACTAAGGTGTGCCTGACCCAACCCATAGTATTTTCAATGGTCTTGTGAAAGTAAGACAACGAGGAAGACCAGAGAAGAATCGATACATTTGATTATGGTAATGGCAAAGAACATTGTAAATATCATGGGCTTCCTGAAGAACAAGCAAATCTGCCTGGAAGAAGCACAGCCAGAA